AAAACTAGGATGAAATAAGACACTTTGTTGAGTTAAATTTGTATTCTCATATAAGGATATAAATATAATGTATATTTGAAATAGTAAATAAATATTATTTAACCCATAAATCATGGATATGCCAAATAAATCATTGATTCGTGCTTAAATATTATAAGATTCATGCTTAAATCATGGATACAAATCTCAAGAAGAGTCGCAGATATGTCTTTTATTGCATATGAAGTTATATATAAGTATAAAATCTAAGATTACGTATGTCAAATAAGTGGACCATCTTATCATGCTTGTAATATGTGCACTCGTCAATCTTTTATGTCAGGTAGGTAGTTTTTTACTAGATTATTAAATATTTTGTGATCTATTAAATTAAAAATTTCGCATACAACCTTTGATCTGATCATTGTTGGTAAGTTATAGTTTACAGTTTGACGCATTTTAGATCTTATAGTGCATCATAGAATTATCAAAAAAATAAATAGAGGTTAAATCAATTTCTCGCCCTTATAGACCAGATCATATACATTGATATCCAGTGCACATGAAGATATTGAAAGCTCTTATATCAAAGAATCAACAACAATCATTAAATTGGTGGGAAATTAACTATGTTATAGTAGACAAAAAACGATATTGACTTGATTGTTGACAACTTAAAAGTTGGAAGATAATATTTCGAGTGAAGGTGTTGTAGTATATTGAAAATTTGAGCTAGAAAAATACTCATGACTTCTAGACTTAACCTTCAAAAATAATGAAAAGGCTTCTTAGGGCTCCCACTTGTAGTGCTTTTTTTTTTTAGCAAAAGAAATTCCAAATTGATTTAGAAAGTATAAATTCAAATAAATTTAAAGAATTCTAGAATTTTGATGTTCATATAAATTGAACAAAATTAAAATTTGAATGCATAGTGATTATTGTAAGAGTGAAATCATACCGATGAAAGTAGGTAAAGATGCATAGATTAAATCTTCACAATCATAAGAAGAATGCTCCCGTGTATAGACTCCTCTTGCAACTTCGACTTCAGTTAAGATATCCACCAATTAATTTGTTTTTAGAAAAGTATTAACAAAGTAAACTTGATGTAAAGAATATGACGAATTGTGAATTTTTTTCTTAATAATCGAATGTTTTTTATTATTATTATTAGAAAAAAAGAACAATTTATTTAGTTACTTTTCACAATTAAGAAAAGATTATCACCCAAATCTACCATAAGCTAATACATAAAATTTTAAAAATTATTTTGACTTCAACCAATTTTTAAATGTACATATTCGATGAACTTCAAAATATTTAGAACATTTCTTTTTAATTCTTATATGAACAAAAGGAGTTGCATATTTAGGAGAATAAAATAATACCAATTCATGTTAGTATTGACACACTAACAAGAAGAGAAAATGATTTTGAATAATATCCATTTTAAATACATTATTTGTGTTATAGTCTAATTTTGTTCAGCTCTCTTTTCAATTTTTATTAGAAAATTAAAACAATTAATAAAATTGTAAAAAACTGATTTTAGTTAAAGTTTTAAAATATTTAAAAAGGCTAAATTAAATCATGGGAGTAAGCCTTTTAAAAAAATTAAGAAAGTCTAATGACGCGGGAAGCTCCATGATCAAAAATATTTTTGATCTTGAACTCACTATATTTAATATGTAGAAACTCAATTATCTAAATCAAACATTCCCTATTGAAATTACAGTTAACATGTTGAAAGCTTATTCTGATAATTGAAAAAAAATATATAAATTAAAAAGGTATCACGATTTATCTGATAAGTCGATTTAAGATTCTCTATCTCAACAAATTAGTTGAAGCAACCTCCGTTGAAAAATACTTAAATTAACAAAAGTTAATTGAACAGAAAAAATCAAATTGTTTTTATTACTACGGGCATACGCGTTTGGCTCCTCGTGCGCGCAGCTTCATCCATGCAAGTGTGATTTTCTCTAGCATGCTGCATGCGTGCGATCCATCCCTGTGCATGTGCAATAAGGCCCTCGCGTGCTCAGCTTCCTTTGTGCATGTGTGGCTTACTGCTTCGCACAAGCACAGCATGCAGGGTGAAAAAGGTCTTCTCGCATGCCGCGCATGCTTCCTTCATGCCGGTAAGTGCCCTGCGGGTGCCAGACCTCCTTCTCGCACAAGTGGCTGCCCGCATGTATGGATAAGCACATTTACGTGCGCGGCACACACTACCCTCCATTCTCCAAGGCCAAACGCCCTCTCAGTCCCACTATTGCTATAATCAATAGAAGAGCATATTTAAATCAAGTAAAAATTTTACAATTTGGTTAACGAAAAAAATTGTTTTAGAATTTATTTAAACAATTTATTTAAAAAAAAAAAAGCAGAGAAGATTTAAAATTTTGGCATTTTTTTAAACATGGCATTTGTTTCTTATTTATGGGCCATAAAATAAAAAGCCAGAAGTTGTTGGCCTCAACTACCAACTTTTAACTGATACAACCTCTGCTTACACTTACGAGAGATACGACGTCGTCTGTACCCTCATCAATGTCCACAACCAGCTCGCCGGCGACGTCGTCGACGTCCTATCCCTCATCTTCGTCCACAACCAGCTCGTCGGCGGAGCCCCCAACTCCGCTGCTGCTATCACTGATTCCATCCCTCCCAAACGATGTCGCACTGAATTGCCTGGCACGAATTCCGCGGTGCTATCACCCAACGCTTTCTCTCGTCTCCAAATCCATCCGTTCCGCCGTCTTCTCCCCCCAACTCTACACAACTCGCTCTCTCCTCAACTGCACACAACATTTTCTCTACCTCTCCATCCGCCTCCCTACCAGTCGCTCCTTCATCTGGTACAGTCTGTTTCAATACCCACCTACCCCAACGAGCGGTAGAAAGAACATCGTCTTAGCTCCTGTCTCGCCTATTCCCCCCCCATCCCTCATTGGTTCTGCATTCGTCTCCGTAGGCCCTTTCATCTACGTTATCGGCGGTTCCATCAACGACGTCCCGTCTACCCATGTGTGGGTTCTCGACTGCCGTTTCAACATCTGGCACGCCGCTCCGAATATGCGGGTGGGCCGCGAGTTCGCAGCAGCGGGACTCGTAGGGGATAAGATCTACGTGATCGGCGGCTGCGTGGCCGACACTTGGACGCGATCCAAGAACTGGGCTGAAGTGTTCGACCTCAAGAAGGAATCGTGGGAGCCCGTCGTCTCGAATTCTGTGGAAAACCGCGAGAAATGGATCCATGCGAGTGCAGTAATCGAGGGTAAGATTTACTCGATGGGAGACCGGAACGGCGTCGTTTATGAACCGAGCAAGGAGATGTGGGAGGAGGCGGAGGGGGAGCTGGACTTGGGATGGAGAGGGAGAGCGTGCGTGATCGGAGAGGTGTTGTATTGCTATGATTA